CCCCAAAACCCCAAAACCCCAAAACCCCAAAACCCCAAAATTAAGTTACAAATTGACTCAAAACCCCTCTCCTAAACCTCCAAATCTCTTCATGAATCACACTTGGAGAACCCAGTCGTGGCAGCGGCCAAGATTCTCTGTAGAAAATCTCTAAGGGATTTCTAGGGCTCTTCTTGTTTGTATTTTTTGTGTGGTGAATTTATAGTTTGGAGAGGAGCACGGGTGCTTTGTGGATTTTCTGACCTGTGCTGACTGGGATAGGGGCTGGAGAGATTTTTGGAGTGGGAAAGATTGGGTTTGTAGGGTGTGATAAGGGGAGGGGTCTGGCTGATCTGAGGAGAGTGTTTGAATGGAGAGCAATAGTAAAGCATCACAATTGTAACTCCGATGAAGATGAGAACGAATAGGAAAGGATCTCTTCTAAGCTTATTATCGTGCTCTTCGATATGAGGAATATCTTCCTCAGGAGCAGGCAAGGCAGTTACAATAGACTTGAACACTCCAGGACCCTGATTTTGATTCTTTACTGTTAAAATTACGAATGATGTATTGCCATTCCAGATATGAATGTCATGATGGATATTATCAGAATCGCCTAACTTTGAAGAGCTGAAAACCCCTCTAGGCTCAAAGAACGAATTCATTTTGTCGCTCTCAAACACATGAGCTTCGACATTCTTGAACTCCTCTTCACTAAATCTCAGACTTGAAGAGTATCCACCTTGGTTCTCAAATTGAAGCACGCATACCAGATCTTCAGGAAGATAGCTAATATTTGTTCCCCCATTTTCGTATTGGAATACACTTTGCCTAGTTTTCTTACAATCATCAGATGAAAGAGCAAGGAGGTATTCTGCTTTTGGGCTTATTCTCTGTAAATTATCCGAACAAAATGTAAACATAGTCCTACAATAAAGCATTTCCTTGTCGTTTGCATCACAGCAGACCCTTTTCTGGTTGGGCCCAAATCCTTTCCCGCATAAGTTCTTCTTCGGAGTGTTCAGACACTCGATACTCTCCCTACTAGACTCTACTTCTTGGTATGAGAGCACCAGCAACAACAAACAAGTGACTAGGATTATGAATGATAAATTGCCGAATTTCATTATTTATATCATCTCAATTCTTTCACCCTTTAAAGGGGTTTTGGGGTTTTGGGGTTTTGGGGG